TCGATTATTATTTAAAAAACAGAGATAATAATTTTTACACGGAAACCCACTAAGAAAAAATTACAAGACCTCGTATAAGATTCAACTAATTATATTGCACAACTTACTAAGTATATAGATTGTGTCAACTTTTATAGATCTAAATCAACTCATTTCCTATTGTCCAGCAACTCGATCTTCTTGCATTGTACCATATTGATCATTTCCCACATGATCCTTTGATGTATCGATATTATCGTGCAAAGGGACTTTAATGCTTTTGTTGCGTACAAGTTGTTACTCCATCATGATTCTTTAAGGAAAGAGTAATGTTTTTGGGACTCTATTTTAAGGCGGGGGAGCGGGGAATAACCGTCTTTATTGTAGCCATCAATATGGGACATATGCAAGAAAACGTGTACAACACATCACAAAAAACATAGAGAAAAGTAAGAGTCAAATGTATTCCGTTACCAAAGAAAATGGTAAATGTCAATATCAGCAATTAATACTCAGAATCTAAAATCCAAAAATTTAAGTGGGGAAAAGTGAATGTCTTTGGTCAGATTAGCATAATCTCATTTTTAATACACTACACAAAAAAAAAACAAAAAGAAGGAAAATGCTATAAATTACTTACCAAATTTGGGAATTGAAATCCATTTATAAAACCCCTAATGAAAAATAAAAATGGTATACAAATTTTAGCTCTGAACTATTGGGACTTCTAATTTCAGGTATCTGGTTGCATTTTGCATGGTCCTTGCCATCTTCACTATTCATGCATGTGAGTTCGCTTGAAACCTCCTAGTTTTCGAATTTGCTGTTTAATCTTTCCATTTGTTTATTGCACTATCTGAGTGATATTAAACTTTCATGCAAGTGCAGGCAGTGACAAGACAGACAGAGAAGGCCAAGAGGCCCAAATTGGGGGTGCTGCTCTTTCGAAAGTCGGAGCCGGTGAAGATGACGACACTGTGGAGTTTGGTTATTGCCTGAAAAGACGTTGTCTTCACGGATCTACCGAGTCAAATTGTTGGTGTTGTCATAAACAGGGAAACCAAGAACCCAAGTGTTGGCCTCAAGAGGAAACTTGTCGAGCAATCTGCCTTGGCAATCATTGAGAAGTATGAATGTCGTTCAGAGCATTCACTACGAATAATCATAGTAAACGATTTTAGCTCTCTTTGAAATTGACTTATTTTTCACTTGTTCAAATTTGTTGGTGCAACAATATGAAACTAATATGAGCGATTATTTGAGCCTATCATGAAGTGAGCGGTGTCCACCCGTGTTCGAGCAGCTCATAAGCTCTGGCCTCGATTTGTGGTTGCAATTTGTATATATATACACATTCATGCACACATATTGCACGCTTTTGGTTCCGTCAAGCCTAGGAGTATTCTATATATGTTCGTATAGCTTGATTCTCGCAAAAACTTTTTATTGATTGCATCAACATCCATAGATTCTTGAAAAACTTTTTATTTACTAAAAGTCCGTTTGGTAGTGTGGATCAAAAAAAATAAAAGGATGAAAAGTGGAAGCGATACATTTTCTATCTTTTAAGAGAGGAATAATTTGTTTCCTCATTTGTATTTGGTAAGGGTGATGAAAAGGAGGAAATGTCGATTTTTTTATATATGTTAATATGAAAAAAATATTGTTTTTTAATTTTTAGGTTTTTTATTAAAAAATATAAATACATATGTTATCATTTTATTTATATATAAAATAACTAATATATATATTAATTCGTCACTGTGCCTAAAGACACTATTCAAAACAAAAAATAGATAAACTCTAAAAATATGACATTTGGACAATATCAATCTGTATACACAATTGGTATAATCAAAATAATAAAGGATATAAATTTTTATTTTAAAAAAATAACTCACGATCATAATATAAACCTCTCCAAAATATTTTTTCACTTCGGGGGATAATTTGCAAAACTCCATTTTCATGGAGAAATGAATGGAGTACTAAAAATTTTTCATTTTTTTATTTTTGAATTGAAATATATTTTACTTGAATTAGAAAATTAAAATAAATGGGACTTATTTACTCATTATCTAAATATCCAATAGTCCTCGAACTCAAGCTATTATGTCTCGTTCTCTTTGTATTAAAAAACTAAAATTTTATATTGCTTGTATTAATCAAAAAATTAAAGTTACATAACACAAAAAAAATCATTCACTCACTTGATGAAATCATAAATGAAAAAAATATATAAAATGCTAAAATCAAATGTGTCACTCCAGCTTATCAGTAATGAATTTAAAAATTGTCATTGTATAATCTAAAAGACAAATATCTCAACATTAAAGAGAAAAAATTAGTTACCATAGAAAGAGTGAATAAGTTAAGGTAAACATAATTTGGGAAAGATATTTGTATGATTTGGTAGGAGATTTTCCTATAAATTAAGGAGTGAATATGAAAGTCATGGAATCGTGAATGGAACATGAAAACGTAAGAGCATTAAATTGAGGTAATTAAAAATAAAAAGTGTCTTAAGCGGGAAAACAAAATTTGCCTATCAATGTAATCTGTCAAATCAATATTTTTGAGTTGATCTGAGCCACAAAAATTAAAGTTAAGATAGACATTTGGATATAACATATATTTTCACTCAGAACTGATCTGAACTGCAAAAAACTCAAGGTAAAATATACATATACATATAGATAAGTATATATCAAATTATATATAGACAAATAACATATATCTTAACATACATAATTAACTTTTCATCAATTTATTATCAAAATTTTAGAATGATTGATTTTGATAAGTTGGAAGAAAAGTTAATTCATCAAATTTTTCATCCTTTGTATTTTTCTTTCTTGCTAAATATGAAATATTATCTATCCCTTCAATTTTTTAATTTTTCAACTTTTCATCCTTCTATTTTTTTATTGTACGAAACGATTCATAAATTAACTCTACAAAACCACTTAATAACACTATTATCAAATTCATCAGTGTCAGTTATAGATGCTACTAATACTAGGGGTGTCCGTGGGTCGAGCAGGGCTAGGCAAGCAAAAATTTTTTCAGGCAATGCCTGAGTAGTGTAGGTTCAACCCCTTACATATGTGAGTCATAAGGCGAGTCGGACTTCGGATAGGGATAGGCTACTCGCAGCCCAACCCGCGAGCCTATTGGGTATGCCTGCTCGCGGATTTTTTATATACAAATTTATTTAAAAATAATAAATATTTTTATAAATTAATATTTGTGTAAATTATATTTTTAAATCAAAAGTAGAGTTAAAATGGATAAAAATAAAATAATGAATAATTTTATTTTTGATTAGGGGATGAACTAGATCCAATATAACGAATACATTCCAACTAGGTTGACACCTACTCATTTATCTATCATTTGCATTATTGTACTCTTTAAAACTTGTATGTTTAATACATGAGAAAGAAAAGAATATATTATTTATAATATCTAAATTTGTAAAATTTCATATTTAGATATTGAGAGATTTATTTCAAAATTTCAAATTTAATAATCTAAAAGTATAATTTGTTTTCAAATGAAAGGTGGATTGGTTTTAAATAGGTTTTTCCGGGTGGGTTATTGGGTCGAGTAATAGATTTGAGGGCAAATTCAAGCCCTCTTTTTAAGGATATTAGGCTCGGGTGAGCTAACTATCGGACCTATCAAGTTTTAGACCTATTTTTTTCAGGTCGAGTAACAAGACTTGTGGATAACCTGACCCATGGACACCCCTAACTAATATTGTGCTTTAAATTAGATGGCCAAGAATGCCGGCTAGATTCCAAATATTCAAGAATATTTCAAAAGAAAGAAAGAAAGAAATAAGGGATAAGGGAAATGTATCTTTCATCATGATTGCAAACGAGATACCAAAATGTCTACAAAAGGAAAGACATAAAGATGCTTGTATTTTTAATAAATTTACTAATGCCCCTTAAAATTTAAACAATTGAAACAGATTGCCTTTTTCGGTGACGGACATAATTGTTTGATGTTATCATTAATAACAGTTATCTGTTACCAAGAAAATTTCTGAAATAAGTTGAGTAGAGCATTACATCATAAGATATTTACTAAATGACATAAATGCCATTCTTTAACCACAGACATTTTGTTATTAACAAAAATCAAACCTTAGAAATGGGTAGCAGATGCATTGCAGGTAATGGAAAGATTACGGTACCCCAAAAAAAAAAAACTGTGAAAATTGGACTTTAGTCTTCTTTAAGAAACTTATAATGAGTTTAGTCTAGCAAAAAAATATATTTAGGGGTAAGTCTTTTTTTAATCTTAGTAATAAGTNGAAAATTGGACTTTAGTCTTCTTTAAGAAACTTATAATGAGTTTAGTCTAGCAAAAAAATATATTTAGGGGTAAGTCTTTTTTTAATCTTAGTAATAAGTAGTTACGTCTACAATTTTTTTTAAAAGTCTAAAATGTCATTTTAATGATTTAAAAAGTAATCTTCAACATTAAATCAATTTCCTAAACAGTCATCCTTGATTCACACTTAATGAAAGATTTTTTTTCCATAAAATCTGAAATTCAAATTTAAATTTGGCGTCACCAGCATTTCTCTCTCTTTCTCTCCCTTTCTCTCTTCTCTCATTTTTTTTTGTTGAGAAGATTATGATTAATTTAATATTGAATGCTACTATGCATGTTACTATTTTTTTGTTGTGCATTTTGTTATTTTTTATTGAACATATTACTATTTTTTTAATGAGTATGTTACTATTAATATTGAATGCTTGTATTTTTCCGAAATATCAATTCAATGTTACCTTTTTTTTTGTTAATCAAGTTACTACTGTTATTTTTTTCAAATATTAATATGCAATGTTACTATTTTTTGTTTTTGAATGTTACTATTTTTTGTGTTTAAGTGGTACTTTTATTTTTAATGTTACTATATACATGAGGGAGAGAGAAATAAATAGTTTTATTCTATATATGGATATCTATATAATAAAACACATAGTAACTTAAATTTGTATCCCCTATATATTTTTTTCCCTAAAAATATCACATCACTTATTTATGTCATATGTTTAATCATTTATATATTTCTCCCCTAAAAACATTATATCACTCATTTCTATCATATGTTTAATCATTTAATATTTAATTAATTTCTAGTTAATATAATTTTTATTTTAAACAATATTTATATACGATAGTATACACATTTAAAAAAAATTAATATAGAGGGATCGATTTTTTAGGCCCTCAAATTTTATATTTTATCATATATTCAGGCACGAGTTATGACTATAGATAGACAAGAGAGAGAATTTTAATGTTAGTAAAACTTCTAAAACTTAAGAATTGTTAATTTTTAAATTTGTTGTAATTAAATATAACTAATGAGGGTATTTTGAATAATGTAGATCAAAATAAACTTAACATTAAACAAGTTTCCTTAATGGATTTATTGCCAAATAAATTCACAGAGGACCGCCTCCTAATTTTCCAAAAAAAAAAAATGGTATCATGTCAAATGTTATTATTTTTTAATGTCAAAATTAGAACTGATTTTGGTAATTCATTATTGATCATTAAATGTTATGATGGATCACGAATTATTTAATCAGTTGCAACTGTTCTTTTGCGAATTGTAACTTACCTTTAAAAAGTTATTATGACATTTTGAGATTGATCATGTCTTCTGCAATTGTAATATTTACCTCAAAAGGTGAGCAATACCATAGTCTGCTCTACCAGTAAATGTGACTTTTAGCTAAATTTCCATTTGCATTTATTTTTGATCTTCCTCATATAACGGGTGAAATTGTACAATGAAATACCCTGCCCTCTTATGTTGATCAATTGTGACATCTATAATATAAAATATCGCAGACTTCAATAAGTTCATCTAACGGTTTCAAATAAACTCATCCAACAGTCGTCAATATCACTCTCAAAACTATTCTCATTGTAAGTCTAAAGTTAGCTAAGTCACTCAGAGTAGAGCACCTGCATGCTTATAGTGACTCGCAGCTAGTGGTAAGACAGTTGCAAGGGGAGCATGAGGCTAGGGAGCCTTGAATGAACTCTTACTTAAACATCATGAAGAACCTTTTACAAGAGTTCAAGCACTTTG